CATCACTATACTGGGGCATTAGGACACATCACTATACTGGAGCATTAGGACACATCACTATACTGGAGTATTAGGACACATCACTATACTGGAGCATTAGGACACATCACTATACTGGGGCATTAGGACACATCACTATACTGGAGTATTAGGACACATCACTATACTGGAGCATTAGGACACATCACTATACTGGAGCATTAGGACACATCACTATACTGGAGCATTAGGACACATCACTATACTGGAGCATTAGGACACATCACTATACTGGAGTATTAGGACACATCACTATACTGGAGCATTAGGACACACATCACTATACTGGAGTATTAGGACACATCACTATACTGGAGCATTAGGACACATCACTATACTGGAGCATTAGGACACATCACTATACTGGAGTATTAGGACACATCACTATACTGGAGCATTAGGACACATCACTATACTGGAGTATTAGGACACATCACTATACTGGAGTATTAGGACACATCACTATACTGGAGTATTAGGACACATCACTATACTGGAGCATTAGGACACATCACTATACTGGAGTATTAGGACACATCACTATACTGGAGTATTAGGACACATCACTATACTGGAGCATTATCAAGACACATCACTATACTGGAGTATTAGGACACATCACTATACTGGAGTATTAGGACACATCACTATACTGGAGCATTAGGACACATCACTATACTGGAGTATTAGGACACATCACTATACTGGAGTATTAGGACACATCACTATACTGGAGTATTATCAGGACACATCACTATACTGGAGTATTATCAGGACACATCACTATACTGGAGTATTATCAGGACACATCACTATACTGGAGTATTAGGACACATCACTATACTGGAGCATTAGGACACATCACTATACTGGAGTGTTAGGACACATCACTATACTGGAGCTTTAGGACACATCACTATACTGGAGTATTAGGACACATCACTATACTGGAGCATTAGGACACATCACTATACTGGAGTATTAGGACACATCACTATACTGGAGTATTAGGACACATCACTATACTGGAGTATTAGGACACATCACTATACTGGGGCATTAGGACACATCACTATACTGGAGCATTAGGACACATCACTATACTGGAGCATTAGGACACATCACTATACTGGGGCATTAGGACACATCACTATACTGGAGTATTAGGACACATCACTATACTGGAGTATTAGGACACATCACTATACTGGAGTATTAGGACACATCACTATACTGGGGCATTAGGACACATCACTATACTGGAGTATTAGGACACATCACTATACTGGAGCATTAGGACACATCACTATACTGGAGAATTAGGACACATCACTATACTGGAGCATTAGGACACATCACTATACTGGAGCATTAGGACACATCACTATACTGGAGCATTAGGACACATCACTATACTGGAGTATTAGGACACATCACTATACTGGAGTATTAGGACACATCACTATACTGGAGTATTAGGACACATCACTATACTGGAGCATTAGGACACATCACTATACTGGAGCATTAGGACACTTAACTATACTGGAGTATTAGGACACATCACTATACTGGAGTATTAGGACACATCACTATACTGGAGTATTAGGACACATCACTATACTGGAGTATTAGGACACATCACTATACTGGAGTATTAGGACACATCACTATACTGGAGCATTAGGACACTTCACTATACTGGAGCATTAGGACACATCACTATACTGGAGCATTAGGACACTTCACTATACTGGAGTATTAGTACACATCACTATACTGGAGCATTAGGACACATCACTATACTGGAGCATTAGGACACATCACTATACTGGAGCATTAGGACACTTAACTATACTGGAGCATTAGGACACATCACTATACTGGAGCATTAGGACACATCACTATACTGGGGCATTAGGACACATCACTATACTGGAGCATTAGGACACATCACTATACTGGAGCATTAGGACACATCACTATACTGGAGCATTAGGACACATCACTATACTGGAGCATTAGGACACATCACTATACTGGAGCATTAGGACACATCACTATACTGGAGCATTAGGACACATCACTATACTGGAGTATTAGGACACATCACTATACTGGAGTATTAGGACACATCACTATACTGGAGTATTAGGACACATCACTATACTGGGGCATTAGGACACATCACTATACTGGAGCATTAGGACACATCACTATACTGGAGCATTAGGACACATCACTATACTGGGGCATTAGGACACATCACTATACTGGAGTATTAGGACACATCACTATACTGGAGTATTAGGACACATCACTATACTGGAGTATTAGGACACATCACTATACTGGGGCATTAGGACACATCACTATACTGGAGTATTAGGACACATCACTATACTGGAGCATTAGGACACATCACTATACTGGAGAATTAGGACACATCACTATACTGGAGCATTAGGACACATCACTATACTGGAGCATTAGGACACATCACTATACTGGAGCATTAGGACACATCACTATACTGGAGTATTAGGACACATCACTATACTGGAGTATTAGGACACATCACTATACTGGAGTATTAGGACACATCACTATACTGGAGCATTAGGACACATCACTATACTGGAGCATTAGG